ATAATATTTTCTTAGCACCCTGATGACATGCACCAAATATGGGTGAAATCGGTTCACAACCCCGCCTTCTTCCAATATAACGCTATTTTGAATTCCATCTGATGCCTTCCCTGTATAATATATACATTAGGAACCAATGAAGATAGCGGAATAAAACTTTACAGAAATACGGTATTTGATACGAGATTATAAAATGTTCGGTGACACCAGAACTTAGCCCTTCCTTACTTGTTCTTACTAAGCTTATGCCGAATATGCCAGTCAGTATATGAATTATATATAGTGTATATGTGTAGCAATATAGCAAATTGCTTGAACTTGCCATGCCGTTCCTTACTTGTTAATTTGAAATTTATACTTTTATCCGCAGCTACAAATATGAAACATCTCAATGTAGTTTGGTCTCCGGCCCGTAAGAATATTTTGTTAAACCGTAATCAGTCTGACATCTAATAAGTTAACAGCTTCCAAACAAAGGACATAGTCAAAGTTTACACATTTTTCATGAAAAATATGTATTCAAAGACCTTAAATTTAATTGATAACGCAAAGGCGCTCTGCTGCAAATCGAAATTATTGGAGGATTTAAGTCGCAGAGTAATCAGCAGTAGCAAGTATCCTCGGTAAAACCTTTCTTATTAACACCGTAATCTGTGCGCGATTATTGTCCCACAATCTTAAAAACAAAATGAAATAAAATTTACGCATGCAAGCAAATCTTTTGAGTTCCGTTATTCACTTTTCCTTCTTATTTCCCTTCTTAGGCTATTAAGCTGGCTGGATGCCTTTACGTTGAGAGAGCAACTCGTTAATTTACGATATTAAATGTGATTGTAGAACCCGTTTCGTGTGAATTCAATAAGCCACCTCATCGCTGACCCAACAGCCCCTCCGCTCGCACTACATATAGACAGACGTCATGGTGCTGGAGTTTACTTTAAAAAATCTCCCTTTTTCGGCTATATTCGGCACATTGATTGTCCTTCATTTTATGATTATTTTATGCAATCTTCTTATTTCACTTATTCACATTTTTCGCGTCCACTCTGTGTTCCCTGCGCAGGTTTATTTGTCGGCTTGTAAAAATTGAATCCTTGTGATCGCTGTCACAATATAAAGTTCATACGGTGTGTCCTTTGCTGTGGTGGCCGTTTTTACGAGCAAACTATGTGTTTGTAAGTGCGCATGTGTGTGTTTGGCCATTTGCGTTTCCACTTAAATGTTGTAAGCCGTTGCTGTTTTGTTGTTGCATTCATTGTAAATTGATTTTGTTTTCATTGTTTGGTATTTTTGATTGATTGTTGGCATTGTGCGCGTAAAACCCCGAGTTCTTACTTACGGATTTTATTTAAGTTTTTACAATCATGATACGAGCATTTCGCACATTCACAGCTTCTTTCGGCATAATCCAACGGTTTGTTTTATTTTATAGATCTTTTCCAATTTAACATCCATTTTTATTATGTTCGGTACTCACCCAGTATGCGCAGCTTGACTAAACCAAAGAAGCATTCGGAGCCCATCGAGGGGATTTGCGAGTCGATGATGCGCAGCACCTCGAGATGCGAGAAGTTCCGAAAGTAGTGACCGATGGTGATGGTGTTGCCCGGCCCCTTGATGATAATGACGCGCACATCCTTGGCGATTTGGCTCACCGGCATGGCGCTGAGGCCACCTGCAAAAATGAAAGGCCACAAAATATGAGTGAATTATTGTAAATTAAGGATTTTTTGTTATTGCAAATTGATTTATTATAACCCTTAACTGGGGGTGGGTGTTTGTGTTACATATAAAGGGGATAAAAATCCTTTGCTAATGAATGGAGGTGTGCGGCAGGTCATTTGTATTTTTACGATTTGGCAGTAAGCGCAAATTCGGTATTAGTTGAGAATTTACGAGTTCGAAAGGTAGCAGGTGATTGTAGGTTAAGGGGCTTATTGAAATGCTTTGGTATTAAAATTGCTTACCACTTTGCCCCAATAATATTGCCAGTTCTCGTTTGTGTGGAATATTAAATAAAGAACGTATGATAATTTGTAATGCTTGCAATGAATAAGGAAAAGCTCTTTTCATAGCCAAAATAAACAGAATATAACCAATCAAAAAGTAGTAGCAGGGGGAGAGACTCTGCTATCTGAATGAATTCGTTTAAGTGTAAAGTATAAATATCCAGCCGAGTGAGTCTCATGGCATTTCAGGAAAAATGGAAAATTATGGTATATAGTAATCTTTATTTTTAACTTTTTAATACTTGGCAATCAGGCAGCTGTGAATTTTTGGTCTGTGAAAACTTCTTTTGAAATAAAACGCGGTGTTCGAATTATAACATATGTATATTCTGCACTAACTACAAGCACTGAATAGCTTTGAAAAAGAAAGGCATCTTTTATATTTTGGATATTTTTTATTAAATTTAAAATTTCTATTAGCAATTTTTTTTTTTAATAAAACACCAATTTATGGCCGTCTTATTGGCTTGAATAATATGAGCTAGTTTTTTCAGCCTTTGCCATTCAATTTTCGAGCACATCGTGTGGCTTGTCATCAATGGCCTTAGGATTATTGACGTACACTTAAAACCAAAAACAAAAAAAAGAAAAAAAAAACATAAAAAAAAGGCAACTTTGTTGAAAATCACCGATGCATCGATTTTATCTAGACCGGCGTTTTTATTAAAATCTTACTTCAAATATTTACTGCACTTTTTCTAGAATTAACCCGAAACCCACTATTCCAAAACGCTTTGTCACACTGTCAAATATTTTAGAAGTTGTTGTGAGCGATTAATTTTAAAATCCGCTTCGAACCCATTTGCTATCAGGGTCAGGGTTTGGCGTTCGTATGTGTCAGTTTTTTTTTCGACCTTTTAAATTTTTTTCTTATTTTCCATGGTTTTCCATCTTAACAAATTAATATTTTCCAATCAGGCATACTAAATGGTCCAGATATACGAAAACTGATTAAAAGTGACGTATTCAACAATATTTTGAATGCGTCACTCGACGCTGAATTGAATGCATGGCAGGCAATCAGAGAAATAATAGAAGGCTTGTTGAGAAAGCATCGTTCTAACAACGACGATGTTTCTGTCTCAAGGATGTTAAGAGCATTCTCGGAAATTGTTTTTTTTTTTTTTTTTTTTTTTTTTGGTTTTTGCTTTTGCCAAAATGTTACAGCTAAGCGAAAAAACATCAAGATAAGGAAACAATTTAAAATCATAAAAAAACTGACACATACGAACGCCAAACCCCGTTGAGGGTTTTACTATACTGACCTAGTACTCTTACCATCACTCTGACTTGGAATTTCTCACCCCCCAGAAAATAATCCCAAAAAATCTCAAAAATATTCCACAGTGTAGATTAACTGCGCACTTAATCAGATGCAAATTTGAAAGTGACGGACGGCAGCTATGCGAGTTGGAACTCTCTTAACAGCTGATTGCAATTTTTATAATATTTTCAATGAATGGATAAATCTTTAATAACTCCTGAATTAATTCGGGTTAATGCAGTTATTCCGGATTAAAGCTGGCGTCAGTCAATGATATAATGAAGCTCTGCAAAAATTTCACCCAAAGGTGCTATTGTGAGTGAGTTAAAAAGTTAACTTGAAAATATTTGGCTCTGTCTGTTTGGCTACGGCCTTAGATCTGAGATTTGAATTACTGCATTTTAAAGATACTCTGGAAAAGCAAAATTTTATTTAAATTAATTTTTTTAAAGATTTTCATAAATTATGCTAAGGATGGCGTATGTCGGCATTTTCGAATGAGTGTGAAACATGTCACTCGTTTGAAATTTGGAGGCACCATAAACATTTAGCTCACCAATATATGAAATGTAAGTTGTCCAATTTATCTAAAATTACATCGAAGTCCAAATGTATTGTGGATCACCTGTTGCTTTTATCGATCAGAAACCCATATAAGCGTTGGTTGGTTATATAAAAAAGCTTCTAAATATTTACACGACTTCAATTCCGAGTGAATGACTCTTTTCTAAAGCCGCAGCAACTATCACACAGCAGAGAAACCGCATGAGAGGCAATAGACTTTCCAAGTTGTTTTTAAATTCGGATTTAGATAAATAAATTTTTCTGCATATTGAATTTTTTTCTGCTTTTTATGGTCATTATTAAAATATAAAGTTGAAAAATACAGCAATGATACGCTGTGATCTCGTTGTGATTTGAAAAAAACATCGACACATCGAACCATCAATTCGTTGCCATTTGCATCATCGCCAAGATTTTTTGTTGAGACTTGAAACTAGTTTTGTATATTTATTACCCTGTGGAGGGGTCTTCTGTCCAGAGCACTTCACCTTCAGAGAAGTGACAATACATTTAGATAGTAGACCTAACCTCGCTATCAATTGCATCGAATGCATTTGTGATAAGACTGGTGTATAGTATTAGGTTGTCGCGCGTAGTTCTAGTTTTATTTGTCGCATCGGGTCATGCTATACCTTTTTGGAAAGCTCATTTCACGCGCTAACACGTGTTTGGTTGATTGTCGTTTCTTTTAAGTCGTTCGTGAGTTATAGCGTCGCAAACATGGAGCAAAATAAAGAGAAAATACGGCATATTTTACAGTACCACCATGATAAAGGCAAATATGCATCTCAAGCCGCCAATAAAATTTGTGCAGTTTATGGACCCGATACAGTTTCCATTTCCACCGCACAACGATGGTTTCAACGTTTTCGTTCTGGTGTAGAGGTGGTCGAAGATGCGCCACGCTCCGGAAGGCCTATCGTCGAAAATTACGATAAAATCGCTGAATTGGTCGAAAGAGACCGGCATAGTAGCAGCCGTAGCATCGGTCAAGAGCTGGGCATGAGTCATCAAAAAAAAATTGTATGAACAATTGAAAATTCAATAAAAATACCGCAAGACTTTTTTGACAACCTAATATATGCCAAAAAAGCTGAGCTAGCAAGGAGAGGTACTCTAGAACCGCTTTCAGCAGAATATAATCGTTTCGATGCTCCCGTATCCTCTTGCGGTCTACTATTATACTGAGACACAGTCGGTATATGCGCTGTCGCAAAGCAATTTTGATCCAAGGGTAGGTGATCTCTATGCGCTCAGTAAGTTTAGCCTCTGTCTAGTAGTGGATCTTTTAATGAGCCATTGCTCTATCCACGCGGTAAGGCTTGCCTGCCGAAGCTTTATGGCAGAAGATGAGGTGGATACAAATCAAAACTTGCCACAGTCCGTGAGGGCTCTCGGAAAATAATGACAAACCAGATCGAAGAATTGCCAACAAATTATTATTTTTTTAATTTTATATGTATGGTCTTTAGGGTTAAATTTTATGAGAATCCATAAAAAGCCTCAAATATCGAAACTATCCAAATCAAGCATTTGGGGGTACAAAAACTTCGTCCTCACTGGCACCTCAAGAGTCGTTGAACTAAAAACCTATTTTACTCACATTTTAGTATGCAAATAAGTCAAAGCAATTTAGCGCTATTTTGCAAGAATGCAACAAATCTGACTCAAGCTTCTGTCGCGCACCAGTTACACGCGAGCTTTGGCATAAACCGAAAGTTGTATGCAGATTAATTTAGAAGCCGGCGCCATTGTGCGACTTGGAGACGGTGGCCGGAGTATCGTGCGGAGGGATCCAGAAGAAAAATTATTAAACAACCTAGAACCGCCCTCTTTTCGCATGTTTTTCGAATTCATATATTTGTAGATAACCACATGTCATGCGCTTTAGTTGCAACTGTGGCAAGTGCAGCTTCATTTAAAAGTTTTTTTTTGGTCATTGTTTTTGGCGTTGCTATGCACAACAATGTGCCGCTGCTTTGGCGCACTGACACGCCTATGTTGCTGCAACGCCTGCCATGTTGCCTCTTACGATGTTTGCATTTTTAAGTCCTTGCAGAACTCATTTTTTAATGCACACATACACATTGCTAAGCACTTGCTGTTAGGGCTGCCTATGAACAACATATCCACACACATACTAATGCATAAATGCATATATCTTTGTATGTGTGCGTGTGCATGAATTCTATACTAGAAGCTGAAATTTTCGAAATTCATGCTTGCAGTTTCGTTTTACATTTTTGCATTTTTAATTTTTCCGACATTCATTTTTCCATTTTTTCCGATTTTTGCTTCGCTGGCAATTTCTCGCTTACAACAATTTCCGCTCATGATTTTTTATGTGAAATCCGGCGTAGTTGTTGCCACGCCTGTTTCTTTGCTGGCGCGGAATGGCAGCGCCACACGAATTCTCCGAAGGATGCAAAGCGTTAATGTGAATTGCAAAGTTTCTTCGCCGCGCGCATTGCCATTTGCATTGTGTGAACGCCTCTCAGCGCGCCGTCACTTTCGGGTAGTGCGGCGTGGCGAAGCATGGAGTTTGGAAGCGTTTCATTGTGGAAATTATGTACTGTTTACTTTTGTTGTGCGAAACAAAGCGCGTTCGCAATTCGTGCGTTTCATCATTCGCACGATGCAAGCATAAGCTCTTGTAATACTTCTTCTCCAGCGGCATTGTGTTAGCGCATTTAAGATATTTCGTTTATTACAGCAGGGACGATGCAGACAGGCACTGAGGCTGCTCGAGTGCGTTGCTCGTTTGCATGCGAAATTACCCACCATTCATTGCAACGGTAAAAATTAACTTAAAACATGAATTTAGCAATGGTAATCTGCCGCGCATTCTTCATTTTTGTTTAAAAGAGAAGAAATCACTGTTGCTACTCACCTTTCGTACAAATCACTTGGCGACGATTGTGCTCGTCCACGCTGCATGCGCACTCCGTCGGGCAGTTTTGGCCGGTGCCCGTCAGCACGGGCATTGCCAGCAGGCAAATCACGAACCATTGCAGCAGCATCTGGAATGAAACAAGCAAAAAAGACGTTTGATCAGAGTTGGTATTTTATAATAACGAAGTCTTTGCAAGATAATGTTGAAAATAAAACTAAAGTAAAATTCTTTTAGGAATTAGTTTAGGAAATAGTAAGCAGTAAAAAATGTTTCTTATCAAATCAGGAGTTCTTTAGGAATTATGTTTAAAGTTAGCCAAAGTGTGGGTGCTAAAAGTTTTAAAGTTTCATTTAGTTCAAAAAAAGTTGCTTAAGTGTCTCCGATATGTTTCACAGTATAGCTGCATAATAATTCATATAAATAAAACGAATATAACTTAAGACTTTGCCAATATATTTTAAAAACGCAGTGGCTGGTACGAATCAATTCCAGCGGAGAGGTCTAATTTTCAACCTATATTTACAATAACATGGGGAATATTCTCCTCCCAGCTTGTCTGCGTAAATGAGCGACCTCAGATAACTAACAAAAATTAGTCCAGCGGGAAAAGGAACTCACAAAAAGTTTCCTTGGAAAAATTGATTGTTTTGTTGGCTATTATACAGGGTGGCTGATGAAAGCCGCTACCAAAAAAAAAAAAAAAAATTAAATAACTTGTTTTCTATTTAATGAATCTGGTTAATTTTTTATTTTTTTTATTTTGCAGATTGATTTTTACATTTAACAAAAATGGATAACTAGAATACTGAAACAAGAATTTGGATTGCTTGCCGCTATCACGTACTGGAGTCCGTAGTTTCAGTTCAAAGAGAGGACCATAATGAGACTTGTAAACAATTTTGCCGAGCATGGGACAGTCAACAGAAGACCTTACCATCGAAACCCTTCAGTTCGAACGGARGAAACAATCACTGCTGTAGCTGCTGCCATACAAAACAATCCACGTGTTTCGACAAGAAGCTTATCTGCTCAAATGGGTGTAAGCAGACAGTCCTTACACAAAGATTTGGACTTATTCCCATATAAAATTCAAATGGCCAACAAACTGAATGCTGCAGACTGGCCGATTCGCTTGGAATTTTGCCAGAAGATGTTTCAAATGGTGGAAGAGGATGGAAACATATTGAACTACTATGAAGAAAACGGTCACACCGTTACGATTACTGGAGACCGTTACTAGAGCATGTTGAGAGAGTATGAGAATTTCTTTCAACTCAGTGTGCTTTCAGCAAGATGGTGCAGCTCCTTACTTGTTATGACAGAATTGCGACGAAAATTTCCCAATAAGCAGATATCCAGAAACTCCACATTCCGTTGGCCACCCAGGTCGCCTGACCTTACTGCACCTGACTTTTTCTTGTGGGATTATTGCAAACAGCAAGTCTACAAACCAAAACCAACAAGTTTGAATGAACTGAGAAATAATTGCGGCTATTCCTGTCTGAACTCTCCAAGCAGTAATGAACAACTTTTTGGTAAGATGCCGCACATGCATCAACGAGCAGGGGGGACATTTAAATTCCATTATTTTTAAAACTAATTAAGCTGTGTTTAATAAAATTGAATGAGCTTTAACATGAATAAAAGAAAAATGAATTCCATACACTAAAAAAAAATAATAATAAAATTATTTGAGTTTCTTAATGTAGCAAAATTCATCAGCCACCCTGTATGTAGCGTCATCTTTTTGGAACCAAAAGCCAGGTCCTACCACTACCGACTGCCACTGCCATATTTTAAAGGGTCACCCATTTCGAGACACTTACTTTTTTAAAGAAGAAACACAGAAATTTTAAATTCATGAGGAATGTTTATTATCATTCGAAATAAAATTCTTTAGCATTTACTTTCTTCCATCTGATGGATCCAATTTTCGATGACTCGTTCGCGCATTTCGACTGGTAATGGAACACACGTGATGTTTTGTTCCAAGGTCTGATTCGAAGCGGGATTGTCCGCAAAGACTTTAGACTTCACATACCCCACAAAAAATGTATAACGGTATGATATCACGGAACCTTGGTGGCTATTTGACCGGCCCCAAACGTAAAATTATCTGCTCAACAAGGTGTTTTCTCAATAAATCTATTGATCCTTCTAGCTTGACACGAAAGACTACTGGAAAAAGTACATATCACGCCTTAAATTAACAAAATCCCTAGTCACAATTCTTATTAATTTGGATCCTGCAATATCCCCTCAATCAGAAATATATTTACTTTATTTACATTTTACTTTATGTAATCAGTCAAATATGGGGGAGTTGCGAATCTAACAAATTGTGTTCACTCTTCAAACAGATTGGTAACGGTTAATTATTGTGTGAACAAGCCTGCACATATACGAAAATCTCTAAGCAACACCTTTTTTCAAAAATTGGGAAATACTAAAGGACTTGGTTAATTTCTTTCGCAAGAGGAAATAATTTTTTTCTACTTTGTTGTAAATACCCTTTAACACAATTCACCAGGTTGTTCAATAAATTTTGACATTTGATAAGAAAAACACAATTTTATGATTCAAAATACACTTTATTATTTAGTATAATCTCCCTGAGCATTAATACGCTTGCTCCAATGATCCCTAAAAAAACGGATTCCCTTCCTGAAGTGAGAATCCGGAAGGTCTGCAAACTACGCTTCAACAGCGCTTGCCACATATACGTTTTTTGCGTTCTGGAAACAAATGGCAGATGTTGGGGGCCAAACCTGGTGAATACGGTGGATGCTCCAACAACTCGAACCCTAATTCATGGATTGTCAAACTGCTCTTGATTTCCTTCAACTGATAAAAAAAAGTTGCAATAATATTCAGAACTAATTGTTTTACCAGTTCGCAAGTAATCCACAAATAAAATCCTTCTCGCATCCCGAAAAAACCGATGCCATAACCTCCTTGGCCGATTTTCGGACACCAACTCGTCGAACAACTGGGTTCACAACATTCTTTAGCATCTGGTTTTGACTCAGGATCGATGTGGTAGACCCAAGTCATATTCATATTAATAAATCGACGCACAAAATCCACTTTATCCTTTTGATTTGATTGCGCCTTTTGGACGTCCTTCACGTCGATCGTTTTCAATGCTTGTATGACCAAGCAGCAAAAATCAGCAACCCAGCTTTCTACTGTTCTAATTGTAGGTGAACAAACGTTGTACACTTTTAACATTCGTTCGTGAATTTCTTTTGGCGCTACACCTTTCCAAAATAAGATTTTTATCACTGCACGATACTCAATTTTTTC